TGGCTGAGGAACATCCCAACTCCAGAGAGCATCCCAGGGAAGACAAGCAGCAAAAGGCCAGGGCACACAGGACCATCCCAGGCTGTGCCCTGCTGTCCCCAAGCCCAGCACTGTTTTCACTTAGGCCCACACGAAGCACATTTGATACAGACGAGCTGCACAAGAGGCTTGGGCTAGGAGCCAGAAGGTGCCAGCGCTGCCGGCAGCGTGGCTGGGAGGACGCTGCCTGGCAGGATGGGCACCTGCTGAGGGCAGCGGGGCGGCTGGAGAGCAAAGCTCAGCAAGGCAGTGCCCTCCCAGGGGACGGTGCAGACAGCCAGGGCCGCCAAGACAGACAGTGACTCAGCAGCTGAGTCAGGGCTGAGCCGGCACCCCACGACGGGCAGTGAGTCACGAGTGCCCCGAAAGCTGATCCTGACAGCAGCGTGATGGGAAGCCGCAGCCGCACTGCCCGAGCAGGCACAGGGCATCCTGTGGGCCAGGGACACCAGCTCCAGCAGCAGCTACAAAAACCCAGTGCTCCATTTTGTCTCAAAACCTCCCTGTCCCCAGCACGCCTCGTGGTGAGGCAGGGCACCCGAGGCAGCAGCCAAGTGCTGTGGGAGTTGCCCTCATGGAGGGAAGACGCTGGGAGTGGGGTCTGGAAGGGACGCCTGTGATGAACATCCTGGATCTGGAGCAGGGGACAGGGCAGGGCCATCCAGAGGTTGGGGCTGCCTCAGTGTTTGGGAATGTTACCTCTCCAGCTGAGCCTGGGAACGGGCCCGCGAAGGAAAGCGCCGGGAACTGGGGCCGGCCTGTTTGGTTCATATGTTAAAATTTAATAAGGGCATTATTCATAGAAAGAGGAATCCAGATCCCGGCGCTGCCAAGCCCTCCCTTTCAGCAGCATCCAAGCCGAACAAAGTGGGACGGGGGAAAGGAAATGCCTGGAAATAAGGCGCAGACAGGGGTGACCGAGCCGTGGCGGCAGCTGCCGGGGACAGGGGCTCCTCCGGGCTCCGGACCGGTGCCGTGGCCGCACTCGGAAGGTCCCGGTGGGCCCCAGCCCCGCGCTGCCACGTACCTCGCGGTGTCACCAGACTCGGGGGAGGCCGGGCCCACCCGTGTCATTCACCGGGGGGCGGCCAGTGGGGACCCGGGCGCTCCGGTCGCCGCTCGCAGCGGCGGAGGCGCCCCCGGGAGCAAGGCCGGGCGCGGGAGCCCCCCGAGACGGTGGGAGGAGGTGCGGGGCGGGGCGGGACGGGCACAGCCCGCACGGACGGACCGCGCCCGGCCGCGCATCTGCACCCGCCGACACACCCCCGGGCCGGGCGGGCGCTGCGGGCAGGTGCCGGGGGTCGGGGGGCTCTGCCCGCTCCCCGTCCGCCCCGCGCCAACTTTCCGCTCCTTCCCCCGCCGGGAAGTTGGCGCGGGCGGGGGCTCGGGGGGCTCGGGGCGGGGTTCCCCGCGGCGCTCACCTACGTCGGCGTTGCAGAAGGCCTGTTGCGGGTGGATGGGCGAGCAGCTGCAGGCGTCGGCCGGGCGGGCCCTGCCGAGCAGCAGCACCGCCAGCCAGGCCAGCAGGCTGGGCAGCGCGGCGGGCATGGTGCGGGGCTGCGGGCGCGGCCGCCCGGCCCCGATCCCGCACCCACCGCCGGGCCCGGCCGAGCCGCCGCCGGGAACTCGGGTCCGGCCGGGGCGGGCGCTCTGCAGCCGCCGCTCCGTTGCCTTCACGGAGCCCGTTCGCTTCCTCCCCGCCGCGCTCGGCCTCGCTCTTTAACGTGCTCCGGGGATCTGCTGCTCCTCCTCCGCGTGGCGCGGGGCCAGCCCGGCTGCGCCCGCCCTCCGCGGGATGCGGCTCCGCCGCGACCGCTGCCCCCGCCCCGGCACGGCCCCCGCCGCGGGCCCAAACCCCCGCGACGTAGCAGCGGATGGCCGGACCGGCAGCAGTTCTGTGCCCGAGAATCCCTCCCCACCGTCGGCTCCTCCACCCCAGCTTGTCCCACACCCGAGTTCGCTCCCCTGCCTGCTTCCTGCTCCCACTGGGGCTCCTGTGCCCCTGCCCCAGGCTTCGGGCCTCTCCCCACGGCAGCAGTTTCTGCCCTGGAGCACAGCTCTAAAACCCCACCTCGACTCTATCCTGGATCATGATGGGGTTTAACCCCGGCGGGCAGCTCAGCCCCCAGCTGCTTTTGGTTCATTCGTCCCAGCAGGGTGGTGAGAGAGCTGGGAAGGGGAAAGTGAGAAAACTGCTGGCTGAGATAAAGGTGAAGCAAAAGCCACACATAAGCAAAGCAAAGCAGGGAATTCTTTCACCCCTCCCCACGGCAGGCAGGTGCTGAGCCATCCCCAAGGCAGCTGGGCTCCAGCACGTGATGGTGATTCGGGAGGACAAACACCATCACTCCGAATGTCCCCCTGCTTCCTCCGTCTTCCTCCAGCTCTATATGCCGAGTATGATTCCCTACAGTGTGGAATATCCCTTGGGTCAGCTGTTCTGTCCCCTCCTGACTCCTTGTGCCCCCTCAGGCCCTCACTGGTGGGATGAAGAGCAGAACAGGCCACAAGCTGTGCAAATGCTGCTCAGCAGTAATGAAAACATCCCTGTTATCAACACTGTTCCCAGCACAAATCCAAAACACTGCCCTACACCATCTAATATGGAAAAAACAGACTCTATGCCAGTCCAAACCCACTCGCTGTGTCACCATGGAGGTGTCAGGATGCTGCAGCTGTCACTGTACCTGTACTCTGTGCCTGGCTGGCTGCTGAGAATGCTCCATGTCCCCAGCAGTGCCTTTGTCCCAGTGGAGCAGGCAGGGCCACAGCTTTTGAGCACAGCTGGGCCAGGTGTCATGGGCATGTGTTGGTAGGACAGCCACCACCACGGCCACAAAATATGCTCCTGAGCCAGCCTCTTGTCACAGCACTGCCATGGATACACACAGAAGAGAGACGTAACAGAGATGCTCAGCCTCCAGGAGGAGAAGAAACAGCAGAACTGGGCACCTGGACCCGGCCCAAACCCTGCCTGAGCCTGCAGGGAACACAGGAGAGGTGACACCATTGACAGCTCTGGGATGCTAGATGACACCTGGAGATGGAGCCCCAGGTTGCCAACTCCACCGTGGGGCCCACGGCCTGCAGAGGCTGCAGCAGCAGCAGGAAATGAGGCACTCTGAGGGCAGCGCAGTGCTCAGGGCAGGGTCCCAGGGGTGCCTCGGCCCAGGGGACAAGAAGGGACCAGGTAGTAGGGACAGCCACTGGCACAGCCTTGGGCCACAACAGGTGCTGTGGAGCTGCCAGCACTGGGCTGGCAGGGTGAGTGAGGCCAGGAGGGTGACTGAGGCCAGGAGAGATTGCCAAGTGCCAGTGATGGCTGAGTGGCCATCATGGACTGTGGCCAGCTGGCGCCCAGTGTGGGCTGCAAAAGCATCCTGGGTGCCCTGGGCTGGGTGCTGCACGATCCCCAGGCCACGTGCGGGGGCCAAAACCAGGCCTGTCTGCAGGCTGGGGACAGGTCCTGTCTAGAGGCAAGCGCAGCCCAGCGCTGGCCGAGTCATTGTCTGGGCTAAATGAAAACACATGTCTGGCCTGTAGCTCTGCATGGCTCACAGAGGTGCTGACACTGTAAACAGGGGTGGGGGGAGCAGCCTGGTGGGGTTCTTGGGAGGGCCCCAACCACTCTGTGGATCCTTCCACCCAACCCCAGCCTGACTGCTGCCCCGACAGGCCCCCTCCCTCCCTGTGCACGGCTGGACCCACAGCAGAGCAGTGCCAAGGCATGGCAGAGGGATACAGGGGGCACAAGGACCCCCCAAAGCACAGTGGCCACGCCCAGCTCTCTGAAGCCCGACTTGCTGGCAGACCTGCCCTAGGGGCAATGTTAATGGGGACCAAAGTGGGGACACCACAGAACCAAGCACCAGTCCTGCTGTGAGGATATGCTGCCCTGTGACCTGGGGCAGGCCAGGCCTGAGCCAGGTCGGCGTGGGCAGGCCAGGAGCCACAGTCCCCTTGGTCAGGGGGTCAGGAGGGCCCTGGGGCCAGCAGATGCCCCTTTGGCCCTTGTGGCTTCTGAAACCACACAAGTTCCTCTGGGGGCCACAGGCTGCAGCAGCAATTTCACAACATGCTGGCAAGCGTGGGGAGGGCTCCCTGGCCAAAGCCCTGGGCTGCTGTGAACGCTCCTCAGCTGCTGCTGGCTCTGGGAAGCAGAACTGCAGCTCCTGGCTCTGCTCCTGCACCGAGCACAGCAGCCCTTGCACAGCATGGCTGCACTGCCGCCAGCTCCCAGCAGTTCTGTCCAGGGCGCAGCTCTTCCCAGAGCTGACAACTCTGGGGCTGGAAGCATTTCTGGGGTCAGAGCCATGTGCAGCCAGGGCTTGGAGAAGACCGATGGCCAGCACACACACACACACCTCTGAGGGTGTGGCCTGGGAATGGCACCAGGATGGGCCCACTTCACATCTGGCCACAGATGGTGGCCCCATCACCCACACCCCCTGCCCCATAGGCACAGCCACTGTTCTGGAACCACAGTGGTGAGGGAACTGCTACATCCCCTGTGCTCACAGGAGCAGAGGGATACAGACACTGTCCCCTCCCATGTGAGACTTTTCTCTGAAACAGGCCACCTGTCACCCCAGCCATCACCTCACCCAGCTTACAGGAAAAGGGAAGGAAATCCAGCTTCTGAAGAAAAAGCCTGATGAAATCCCCCCAGTCTGACCCTCTCTGGCCGCACACCCCACTCCACCCAGCTAGCCCCATGGCGCACAAGGCACAGCTGTAGAGCTGGGGCTCAGCTGCAACCCCACAGCATGGATGTCACCAGAGCCACCGAGCCACCGGAGATGGTTCTGTCGCAATTCAGGGCTGGGCACTAGGGGCTGCACTGGGACCTGACTAGGCACCAGCACTCCAGGACCTGGACACTGTCCCGGGGCCGGGAGCACCCTGTGGTGGCTGTGCCTTGCCACCAGGTGCCACTGCCGAAACACTCGCACCACACCTGCTGCAGCTCAGTCAACACTTTACAGGAGAGCCCAGGGCCAAGGACAGAGCTGGGAGCGCTGCCTGACATCCCTCATAGACCCCGGCCTAGGAGCAGGCTAGCAGGGCCTGCCCACACGCCTCCACTCGCTCCAGATGTCTGTTAAATAAACTCAATGCCCTCGTACTTCACACTGCCAATCCTGGTCTCGGGCAGGAGGAAGCGCCCGTCCAGTGTGAAGGCCATGATGTAGCTGGAGATCTTGCCATTGTCCTCCTCTGACTTCAGTGCCACGATGATCTGGTCGTCCGTGTCCGGGATGAACTTGAAGGAGGAGAAGCCATGGGTGGGAACCACGTCGCCCACACGCCCCACTGTGACGTGCCCGAAGTCCTGGGTGGAGCTGAGCAGCAGGTTGGTGCCTCGCCGCTCGTCCGCCTGCTCGCTGTAGCGCTCGTGGCTGGCACGGCGCGGCAGGAAGAACCAGCGCTGCAGCGTGTCGCTCCAGGAGGCCGACTCGTGGATCAGGTACCCTGCGGCAGGAAGCGGAGTGAGACCACACAGGCCACAGGGGCACAGCCACGCTGGGGCCGGACCGTCCTCCTTCCCCTTCCCCTCCAAAACACCCCACAGCCCCACGCAGGCATCCCCTATGAACTCTTCTGCCTGTTCCTGCCTCACTGACTGGCAGCAGCCCCACAGTTCTCCCCAGAGCTAAGCAGGGGCACCCAGCACACCCCACTCTGCCTGGGGGCAGAGCTGCCAGGCCCAATGCCAGCTGAGCCACCCTTCAGCTGCTCCTGGCACAAGCAGCAGAGGAAAAGGACCAGGACAAGAGGAGATCTCTGGCCTCTGGCAGCCTTTAAATCACCCCCAGTGCCAGTATCCCCAGGGAGGGTGACTGTATGGCTGTGACTGTATGGCTCTGGAGCCATCAAGAGTGTGGGATATGCGGTGGCAGGAGGTTGCCCCGCTCCATACCTGGGGGCCGGATCCCCGCTGCAGCCCTCAGCGCGTTGTAGTTTGTCACCCAGTTTTCGTGGCTCACGTCACCCTTGTAGCCAATGACCTTCACCCACTGGGGGTTCTCATTCACCACTTCCCCTGTCGTGGTGGTCCACTCCTTGCCCAGTCCTCCCACGTACAGGTGCTCATCCTTCACTGCCAGCCACTCTGCCTTGAAGCCTGTGGTGGAAAGAATGGCATGAGGGGAGCTCAGTCAGCACGTGGCTATCAGACTGTCCCACGTGCCCCACACCCTGCACCCCTGAGCCCGGTGCTGGTTACAGTGTCCCCCATGCAGCCAGCTGGTCTCCCAGCAGGAACTGCTCTCTCTTGGCCAGGCTCAGAGGTCACAGGAAAGGTGCACCCCACCCCAGCAAGGTGAAAAGAGCCAAGGGCTTTACAGGGCAGGACAGGAGCTCACCTTTGCCCACCGTGCCATCCCCATCTGGGAGGATCACCCAAGGTACCACCTTGTTGCCCTCAACCTGGTAGACCACGCCTGTCCGGTCGTCCACCGCGTACAGCTTCCCGTTGAAAACCACCAGCTCTGAGAGCTCCATGCCCCGGCCCTTCTCAGCCAGGTGGGACTGCAGCATGCTCTCATCCTTGTCCCACTCCACTGTCACTCTGTCCCCACTGTCTGACAGTACCAGGTAGCCTTTCTTCAGGTAACTGAACCAGGTGTGCTCCTGGGAGCCCCGGGACTGCGTGTCCAGGTCGGCAATGACGCCGATGCGGTAGCGCACGCCCTCAGGGTTCCTCTGCGGCGGGGACAGCGGGTAGGTGTCATTGTAGCGGTCCCCCGCCTGCAGGCCGAGCTGCCAGGTGCGAGGGCTGGGGGGGCCATGCCGTGCTGGGGAGGAGCGGTGCAGGCAGAGCAGCAGCAGCAAAAGCCCCACGCAGGCTGAGGACAGCACGATGGCCTTCCAGCGCAGTCGGAAGCGGGGGTCAGCACCCTTGGTCATGGACGCGAGCACGGGCAGACCACCCACACTGATCCGGAGGGGGCTCATAGACTCATGGCAGGGCGGGACTGGCATGAGACAGGGGGCGAGGAGAACCTGGTGGGAAGAGGGGAGGGAGAAGGTCAAAGAGCTGGATTTGGTGCTGACTGAGCTTGGGGGACAGCAGAACACAGCCATGAGGGGCCTCATCCCCTCTCCTGCAGCAGAAGGTGCTCCCACCTCATGCAGCTAAGAGCCACCATGCCCAGGGGCTGTTTGCTGCTGGAACCACCCTCAGCCCCTCTCACCTGGCTCCCTCTGCGCCCCCTGCCCAGGAGCCCCAGCATCTTGGCAGGATTGCACGACCTGCCCGGCAGCTCTATCTGTGCCATGGTCACTGCAGCTCAGGCAGCGAGCTGAGGCACCTGGCTCAAGGCGAGCCCCGTGTCACAGTGTCCTGGGGCACGTCTCCCCACAGGGTCCTGGGAGGAAGTAGGTTCCTCTCGGGTGGCAAGGATGACCCTTGCTGTCTCCAGAGTGGCTGGGCAGCCTGGCCCAGCTCCTGTGGCCCCGAGAACCAACCCCACTGATGAGCTGTGAGCTTGTCTCCAAGCCACACAGGGACACGTGTCAGCTCCGCCCAAGCAGGATGCCAACACCTGAGCAGGAAGCGCAGTGCCCAAGGGACTCACACCGTGACCTGCCCAGCCTCACAGACACAGGACCCCCTCATCCCTGCCCAGGACACAGCATGTCCTCTACGTGTGAGCATTGTGAGCCCACCCCAGGCTGTGCCCACCCGCGGGCCGGGGTGCTAGCAGTGCCCCTCAGTGCCACCTCCCTCCCTGCAGCACAGGGGACATGGCAGCACCCCGGGCTCCCGCAGATGGGCACTCCGGGCTGCCCGGGTGGCAAGCAGCCACCACTGGACCCGCGCCATGCAGCCCGTGCCATTCAGCCCGGGGCAGAGACCCCCATCCCGGGGCAGAGATCCCCATCCCGGGGCAGAGATCCCCAGCCGCCATCGCAGGGCTTTCTACAAAGGGCCCGTGCCGCAGGGTCTCAATGTGCCTTTCAGCAGCCGGAGCGGCAAACAGAGGCGGCATTGAGCGTGGGGGGCCGGCCCCGGGCAGGGGAGCTGCGGCACAGCACGGCGCCCGCGCCTGGGGGCACGGCAGCGCCTCTCGGTCCCGTCGGGATCCCGTAGCGTGGGCCCGGCAGAGCCCCGGGGACCCCTCTCGGTGCGCTGAGCCCCACCGCGCTTGCAGCCCGTTCCGAGCACAGCCACGGGGACCCCTCAGAACGCCGGGGCACGGTCACCGGGTAGGGACACGGGGACCCCCCAGCACCCCCGGGCGCGGACACGGGACGCCCCTCTAAGGACGCGGGGACTGCCCGCCTGCGCCGGGCGCGCCCTCGGGGACCCCCGCGCCCCCTCCCCGGCCGAGCTGACGGGCACCGCCCGGACGGAGCGGGGCCCTGAGGTCCCCGCGCCCCCGGGACCTCCGCGCGGGGCACAGCAGCCCGGGCAGGGTGCTTGAGGTGCGCGGTGCCCTCGTCCGGTGCGGACCCCCGCCTGCCGGCCCGGCCCGGCCCCGCGCCCCCCGCCCGTGTCCCCGCTCACCGCGGCGCCGCCTCCCCCGCGCGCAGCCGCCGCCGCTGCCGCCTACAGCTCCCGGCGGCCCCGCGCGCCGCCGCCGCCGCGCCTGGCAGCGGCCTGACGGCCCCGTCTGGCGCAAAAACTGCAACTCCCAGGAGACCCACGCGTCACCGCGCCCCCACCGCCCCTCCCGCTGCGCCGCGGGGCCTGCCGGGAGCTGTGGTCCACGGTGAGCAAAGTCCGCTAGAGCGGGCGCCGCTCACGGGCGGCTGGAGACCCGCGGCGGGGGCAGTGCGGGGGCCGAGCCGGCTCTGCGGGGTGGGCACAGCCCGGCTGTTCGGCAGGCATGACCCCCGCGCTGGCCCTGCTGCAGCCCGCAACACATTCTATCCTTTCCCGGTTGCCCCTTATGTCCCGCCGCCACTCGGGCAGCGGGGTAAACCCAGCACCGCGCCTTGGGACCCGTGCGCGTGCCCGGCTGTCAAAGGCTGCAGCCCGGTGCGGCTGTGCTGGCCGCGGTGCCCTCGGGGCTGGGAACGGCCTCGGCAACGCCGGCACGGGGCAGGGTCCTGCGCCGGGGCCAGCCGCACCCTCCGGGATCCCGGGCCCCGCGGCAGCTCCGGCGAGCCGCTGGCACGTGCCGCCTCTGCTCCCGGTGCGGCGGCCCCGGGGCACGAACGACTGGGGCGGCCGGTCCCGGGAGCACTCACGGTTAAGGCAGCCGCGAGCGCACATCTGGCGGGGGAGGGCTGCGAGCCTCGTCCCGTGCCTCGCTGCCTCCTGCGCTTCCCAAAAGTGTATTTCCGCCCGGGCCGGCCGAGGAGAGGCGGCTCCGGAGCGGGAGGCAGCGGTCGGCCGCGGACAGGCTCTGCGCTGGCCCGGGCGATGCTCTAGGGCAGCAAACGCAGCGCCGGGAGGGAGAAGCCGTGCCCCAGAGGTAGGTGGGGGCAGCTTTGGGAGGCCTGGGATCACCGCCGGAGCTGCAGGGGCCGAGCTCCCGTCGGCGGGCGGTGCCGAGGTACCGGGAGGCGGCTCCGCCTCGCCGAGCGCTCGGGTGCCCTGGCGCACGCCCAGCCAGGGGGGTCGGCCCCTGAGCCCCCCTAGCCGAGCGAGGCCCTTGCCTTGCCTGCAAAGGAGCAGTGGGGGCCACACGGCTGAGCCTCACAGTAGTCTGGGGGCACAGCCCGACCCTCCGCGGCTCTGGGAGGACACAGATTCCCCCAGCCCTGCCCCAGCTGCGTTCCCAAAAATCCCATGGCTACAAACACATAAGACCCCCGCTGGGCCACCTCCGGCATATCTTTGGGGGTTACAGTGGCTGTTGTGACCCAGCACAACGTCTTGCTGGTGCTAGAGAAGCTGGAGGGCTGCAACTACCCCGTGCTCCTTCCCCACATCTGCCCCATGCAGCCCCCACACTGCTGCCTGCCGGCTCTGCCCTGCTCCAGGGAAAAAAGGGCTCTGCAACCGTTCCAGCGTCTGCAGCAGCACATGGGGCACCTGGCCCACCAGCACGACTCCAGAGGCACAGTGGTTCTAGCTGATGTGCAGGGAAGTTTGTATCCAACACCCTAAACAGAGACTGGTGCAGGTCCTGCTGCCTCCACACTGCCCCGAGCTCCTCATCCCTCCCCAAGGGTTTGTTCCGTTTCATCCTAGTCTTCATCTCCATCTGGAAAGTATTTTGGGATGTTTTGATTTGCAGTCCCAAGGCTTCTGCATCCACTGAGTTTAAATCTCTGACTGCTCCTGGAGAGCAGCCAACCCTGAGGGAAATGCGTGTCCCTGGTGGGGCGGTGTGTGCCCGTGTGCAGGTGGGCACACAATGCCCAGCACACCTGCAGGGTACAGGGGGGCATGCTGAGGGCCCAGCGATCCCCATGGGCTGCTGGCAGCAACCTGCGAGCACCACACACTCACCTCTGTCCCCAACAGCCTGGGAAGCACTGCCTTCCACCATGGGAACTTCCTGGTGGAGGGTTTCTCCTTGTGGAGCAGCTCTCTGTGACACTGCGCTGTCCCCAGGGCCCAGCCTGCTCCAGATCCCAGAGGAATGCCTGGTGTGACAGTCCCACAGCTGGGGGAAAGCCACAGGCTTCCCAAACCCGGCACGCTCCGTGCCCTGCTTAGTGCTGTGGGCCTGGCACAGCTGGAGGCCAGGCAGGCTGAGCAGAGCCAGGGCCAGGGGCAGGGCCAGGGCCAGGGCCAGGGCCGCCCTGGTGCTCACGGGGCCCTGGCTGCCTCCTCCACCTCTATCCATGGATCCGCTTCTCCCCTGCCTCCCTCCACACCTGGCAGCACCGACACAACGGGGTGAGAGACAGAGGCAGCGGGAAGTGTGTGCCGGGGCCAGGCCCTTGGCAGAGGGTTTGAGCAGCAGGAAAAGCCCTTTGGAGCCTTTCCCAATCCCTCCGCCCCTTCCCAACTCCAGTGACTCATAATCCAGGCATCCGCCCCCGGCCCCGGAGCCCTCCGCGCCCGCTGCGGGAGCGCACGTGGTCCCTAGGACCCCGCACCTGGGGACAGTGACAACAGCCACCGACCGCCGACTGAGAGCAGGCGCTCACCTAAACCACAGGATTCTGCCCCAAAATCCGTCATGGCCTGGCTGAGCCGCAGAACACAGGACAGGGCTGAGAGGGGCGCTTTGCGCCGCGGGACCGGCGCTCCGCGATCCCGGCGGAGCGCAGCCGGGCGGCTCTTTGGGAGGGGACACCGGCGAAAGCCACACGCATGTCCCACCCCAGGGAGGCACCTGGCTGAGATAGGAGCCGGGTAGCGGCCATCCCCGTCCCGCTCGGAGCCTGCAGCCGCGGGATGCCCAGCGCTGGGCAGTGCTACGCCCCTGTTTGGCCAAGGCTGTCCAAAGGGCAAGGTGCTGCGTGCCCGGCCCCACGTCTCCAGCAGATACGATTCTGATAATAGAGGGAGGGGTCGCGAAGTGCCCGGGCTGGGCCACAATGCCACCACCACTGCAAATATTAGTTTTGGCCCCATACAGGGTGTGGGCTCTTGGAAAGGTTTCAGCCAGCTCCCAGATAGGGCTAGCAGCCCACATCCCTCTTTCTAGAGGAGGGGGTTGTGTCCCCTTGCAAACCCTTGGGCTGGCAGCCCCCAAGGCACAGGAGCCCCTTGCAGGAGTAGGGTGCAGATGCTCTCTCTGGGCCCACCTGGGGTCCCACACACAAGCAGGGCTGCACTCTGACATTTGCCTCATGGCATCTGGAGCTCTCTGTAATTTTTCAGGTGCTGACGTCCTAAATTGCTGCTCTTGGATGTCCATGGGAGGCAGCTGAAGCCAGGCTGAGCAGGAGCAGCAGCACTTGGTCCAGGACTTGGCCCGCTCAGAGGCTGCTGCTCTGCTCCACTCTCAGCTCTGAGGTAATCCCATCTGCCTTATGTGCCAGGGCTCAGGGGCTGCACATGAGCCCAGAGCCCCCTAACTGCCCCAGTGTGGGTCTCCACAGGTGCTCACTGGGGTGACACTGTTCCATAGCCCAGCCAGAACCCCGGGGCTGTGCAGTGCACAGGTCCTGTCCCAGGACAGCTTGGGGCATGGCTGGGCTGGGAGTCTCCTCATTCCTGTCCCCGGCACCTCACAGGACCCTGCCAAGGCATGGAGGGGCTGTGGGTGCACAGTGTCCTGCTGATCTTCCTGCTGCCCTGCCCTGTGGGGAGCCAGACCAGCTCCCTCCCTGACCAGAGATGGTGGACAGACCCCAATGAGGCCCCTTCCCAGCACCAAGCTGCCAGGTGAGGGAACCCCTGAGCCAGGGTGCTCTGCAGTGGGGGCCAGGGCAGCCCTGGCACCGCAGACCCCCCACTCCCCTGTAGCTCCTGCTGCGCTTTGCTTTCTGCCTTGCCAGGGCCACGCAGGAGCAGAAGGCTGGTGATGCCCAGGAGGGGCTGCCCCCACAGCCCCGCTGTGTCCGCTGCTGCCCCTCACCTGAAAAGCGCTTCTACCCCCAGTACCAGCCCATGCCTCAGATCAACATGACCATCCTGAAAGGTGAGGGCTGGCAGGACCCCACGCTGTGCTGCCAGCATTGCCCCAGCTCCAGCGCTGAGCTGGGCTCACAGTGCCAGCTCCTGCACAGGCTGGGAATGAGAAAGTGGGGTGGTGCCAGTGGTCCTGTGCCCTGCACAGACAGGGGGCAGGAGCCGCGCTGGGGTGTGAACAGCCGCTGCTCTGGTGGCTTTTGGGCAGCAGCATCAGAGCCTGGGGAGAGGCAGGGGCAGGACTGGTGGGTCCCTGCTCCTTCCATCCGCCACTGGGGAAGGGGCTTTCGGGGTGCTGGGTTCAGCTCTGGCCCCTGCCTGACAGCCCAACTCTCACTCCTGCTCTGCCCAGGAGAGAAGGGGGACCGTGGTGAGCGTGGCATGCAGGGCAAGTTTGGCAAGACGGGGGTGGCTGGCAGCCGGGGCCACGCGGGGCCCAAGGGACAGAAGGGCAGCGTGGGCGCCCCCGGGGAGCGCTGCAAGAGCCACTACGCCGCCTTCTCCGTGGGCCGCAAGAAACCCCTGCACAGTAACGACTACTACCAGACCCTCATCTTTGACACGGAGTTCGTCAACCTCTACGACCACTTCAACATGTTCACGGGCAAGTTTTACTGCTACATCCCTGGGATCTACTACTTCAGCCTCAATGTGCACACCTGGAACCAGAAGGAAACGTACCTGCACATCATGCGCAACGGGGCGGAGGTGGTGATCCTCTACGCCCAGGTGAGCGACCGCAGCATCATGCAGAGCCAGAGCGTCATGCTGGAGCTGAAGGAGCAGGATGAGGTCTGGGTGCGGCTCTACAAGGGTGAGCGCGAGAACGCCGTCTTCAGTGACGAGTACGACACCTACATCACCTTCAGTGGCCACCTCATCAAGTACAGTGGGGACCCCTGAGCCCCCCCACCCCTCCTGTGCCAGGCCAGGTGGCCAAGGAGCCCCTGTCCCTCTCATCCCAGGAGTGCCACCCCCATTATGCTGTTAGTCACCCTAGTGCCACTACCCCCAGCAGCTGCACCAGTGTGTGAATTCCCTCGCTGCAGCACCTCAAGGCTAACCAGACACACCTGGAAGAGTTGGAGCAATTGTAAGCCCCTGCCACGTTAGTGACCAGGAAGCAGCTGCTCACCTGGGGTGGGCAGGGAGCTCACCCCCTCTCCCTGCTCCAGAGCTGGGTTTGCCAGGCTCAGCCTGTCGCGGCGCTGGCACAGCGGCACAGTGTGACCACTGGTGCCCTGGTGCCATGCAGCGCAGACACTAGCACGGTGCCACACTCACCTCCTGGCACCATGCTGTGCTCCCCGGCCAGAACGGACAGAAGGTGCTCAGCACCATCCAGAAAGGCAATAAACCACTAAGGGCCCTCCTGCCTTCCCCGGTGCAGGTGTTGCAGTGGGAGGCTGGGTCCCCCTGTGGGGAGTGAATTGTGTCAGTTCCCTCCGCAGATTCTGTTGCTGCTCGCTGCAGCCTCTGCTCAGGAAGGGCGCTCTACCCACCAGCAGCCCTGGGTGTGGGGCTTTTGGCCTCAGCCACTTCCTCTTCCCTTAGGTTATCTGCTGGCCAGGCTTCATGTTTGTGTAGATGCAGCAGCAGCATGGGCCAGCATTCTGACCCCCCATTCAGCTCATGCCACATTAAACACCTCACATTTCCAGCCTTGCTCACACCTTCAGTCTCCTCTTGCTTTGTGTGTGGGAAGGCTCCGAGGGACTCAGGGCCAGGTTCTGCTCCTGGGGTGCAGAGGCTCCCAGGAGGGAGCTGGCATGGTGCTGCTGAGCTGGGGTGGAGGGGGAAGAACAAACTGTCCCTGGAGAGCTGGGGACCTGTGCCAGGCACTGCATGGGCCAGCTGTGCCCCAAGGGCCAGGAGCTGCGTGCAGTGACAGAACTGTCAGCCTGGGAGCAGGACAGGCTGGCAGGGTTGTCAGAAGTGCAGGTTATCCAACACATCCACGGAGAGGAGGTAGGTCTGAGGTGAAGCCAAGTGTCAGGGTCTGGAGTGGCAGGTCCATGGCTGGGCTGAGCAGGGCTGCAGCTGCAAACCAGCACCCCAAGCACAGGAGGGAGGGGACCAGGCTGCGGGGACTCAGGATGACCTTAAACAGAGCCCTGGTCCCACATGTGGGGAGTGGGTGGATGGTGGCGGCCAAGTGAGGCAGGTCAGGGCGCTCACTGCTGTGGGGTGGGGGCATCAGCGCAGGGCCCCCGCGCTGTCCCATGGCATGGGCAAAGCTCCCTGGGGACCAGGCACCATCTCCGTGACAGCCTGCCCAGCAGGGCCTGTTACGGATACAGGCGCATCCCAGCACACAGATTCCCATCCCGGCACAGAGTTCTCCCCCGGGACACGCGATCCATTCAGAGGCGTGCGGTTTCTTCCCAGGACACGCGGTCCGTCCCGGAACACTCCGCCCCGGGACAAGGGGGCGGGCGGTGCCCGGGGCGGTGCGGGCCGGGTGGGAGGAGCTCCGGGGCCGCGCCCCCCGGAGAGCCGGGCCCGGTGGCGGCGGCGGCGCCGTCAGTGCGGCAGCGGCGGCGGAGGCAGCGCCATGGCGGAGGCGGCGGAGGGGCCGGCGCGGCGCGGCAAGAGGACGGCAGCCGAGCTAGGGGCCGCGGCGGAGGAGCCGGCCGAGACGGAGAGGGCGGCGCGGCGGCGGCGGAGGTGGATGGCGGGGGCCGGGGCCGAGGCCGCGATCGGGACCAGGATGGGGACGGGGACGGGGACGGTGATGGGGATGGGGTCCGGGAGAGGGACGGTGATGGGGACCGGTGGCGGGGCTGGCAGGGCCCGGTCGGCGCTGGCCGCGGTGCTGGCCCAGCCCGGCCCTCACCCAACCTCCCGGGGCAGTTTGCAGCCGGCGGCGGACATCCAGGGAACCACTGTCCTGCACGACACCATCAGCGACCGCCCGCAGCCCCTGCCAGGTGAGGCACCGGGAGAGGGGCCGGCCGGGATGGGGAAGGTGCCGTCCCGGACCGAGCTGCACAGGCAGTGCTCGCTGCTGACCCTGTCCCGCCGCCCCATTGCTCCCAGCAAGGTACTTTGACACGAAGACCACAGAGCCCATCAGCTTCTTCTTGACCGGCCTGGAGGAGCTGCTGGCCTGGCAGCCCAACAGCAATGATGAGTTCAATGTGTCAGCTGTGCCTCTGGCCAAGCGCCAGCCCCCACTCCTCAGCAGGAGGCCCCGGACGCTGGTGTGCCACGACATGCGTGGCGGGTACTTGGAGGACAGGTACGTGCTAGGTGGAAGGTGGAAGGGAGGTGTGACAGTGGAACTCAATGTCTCAAACCCCAAGGCAGTTCTGTTTCTGTCTGACACGTCTCCTGACGGCTCAGCCGCAGGTGAGCAAGTATGGGGTGTTTGACTCGATGCTTGGGGAGCCTTGCTCAGGCTGGGATGTTCAGAGGTGGCTCAGTGCCACAGCTCTGCCCAGCTCCCGGCTGTGAGTCAGGCTCCTACCCAGCTCCACAGCGTCTGTCAGCGTCCTTCCTGCACTGCCCAACCCTTTTCCCTCTGCAGGTTCATCCAGGGCTCGGCCACACGCAACCCCTACGTCTTCTACCACTGGCGCTACATCGACATCTTTGTCTACTTCAGCCACCACACTGTCACCATCCCGCCCGTGGTCTGGACCAATGCAGCGCACCGGAACAGCGTCCCTGTGCTGGGTAGGGGCAGGGCTGAGCCTGGGGCAGCCCCAGCAGTGAGGTGGGTTCTCCAGGATGTGCAGCTGACGCTGCCCTGGCTGCCTCCGCAGGCACATTCATCACGGAGTGGACGGATGGAGAGAAGCTGTGCGAGGCGTTCCTGGCTGGCGGGGAGGAGGCATACGGCGCCGTGGCGGAGCAGCTGGCCCGCATCGCCCAGCACTACCGCTTCGACGGCTGGCTGATCAACATAGAGAACACGCTGAGCGTGAGTCCTGCTGGCCCTGCTCGCTGCCCTGCCTTTGTGCTGTTCCCGTGGGGAGCCCCCTACCCCGTGCCCTCACCCACCCGTGTCTCTCTCTCCTGGCAGCCGGCGGCGGTGGGGAACCTGCCCCTCTTCCTGCAGGACCTGACGGCACGGGTGCACAGCGCCGTGCCAGGAGGGCTGGTGATCTGGTATGACAGCGTCCTGAAGGATGGCACATTGAGGTGGCAGAACGAGCTGAATGATCAGAATAGGTGAGGCTGGAAAAACTGTCCCCAGGCGGGGGGCATGAGCCCACCCCAAACCCAGCATGGCACCAGTCAGGCACAACCTGCACAGCCCTTGGTGAGGCCACGTGTGACCACAGTGTCTGCCACTGTGACCATTGTCCCCAGGATGTTCTTTGATGCCTGTGACGGGCTGTTCACCAACTACAACTGGAAGGAGGAGCAGCTGGAGCGCACGCAGAGGCTGGCTGGTCCGCGCCTAAACGACGTCTATGTCGGCGTTGATGTCTTTGGCCGTGGGGATGTGATTGGTGGTGGCTTCGACACTGACAAGGTGTGTGTGACAGGGCTGGGCCAGAGTATGACCCTGACCTCTCCCAGCACAGGGCTCTGAGCTCACACTGCGGCCCTGCTGGGCTGTGCTCTGTTGAGCTGCTAACCTGGGGATGAACAGGTGAGGAGTGAGGGATCCCAGAGTGCTGGCCATGCATGAAAAGATCCCAGTGCTGCCATCCCTGGAGAGGGAGATGCTGCAGCACATCCCTCTGGTGTCCTGCCCCACCATGGGGCCAGCGGAACCTGGGAGGAGCAGGGATAGGACAGGGGACAAGGTGACTACCTGGCCTGTCCCATGCTGCTCACCGCTCGTTTCTGCAGTCCCTGCGCCTGATCCGCCAGTATGGCCTCTCTGCAGCCATCTTCGCTCCTGGCTGGGTCTATGAGCACCTGGGCAAGGAAAACTTCCTGCAGAACGAGAACAGGTGAGGGCAGCTCAGCGGGGCGGCTGTTGGGGGAGGAATGGGGCTAGGAGTGCCCTGGCTCAGGAAGGCTGTGGGGTGGTGGGACACAGCTACAGGGACACTGTGGCTGTCAGAACACCATGGCTGCTGGCCAGGAGCAGCTGGCCCCTTTCTGCCCGAGCTGAGGCCGTGCAGGGCAGTGACCATCACAGGGGTCTCTGCCCTGACACCCACCTTTGCCTCCAGGTTCTGGGGCTCGCTGGCAGAGTACCTGCCCACGCACAGCATTTGCACACTGCCCCTGACCACCTCCTTCAGCCTGGGCATGGGCACCAGCACATTCCTGGATGGGAAGGTGGGTGCAGGGTGACAGCTCTGCTCTGGTCAGACTGGGCTGGGCTGGGCAGGGAGGTCCCTGCTCTTGGCTCCCCCAGCTCAGCTCTTCCTGTGCTGTAGGATGAAGAGTCTGGGCCCTGGTACGATCTGAGCGCACAGGACATCCAGCCGCTGTACCCGGAGCAGCAGGGCACGCTGAGCACCAGCTGCTGCCTGCAGGATGCCTGGTGTGGGGGCAGCTCCCTGCAGCTGCAGGGGACCATTCCCCCCGGCGAGGAGCGTGTGGCTGTCCGGTGAGTTGGGGAAAAGCCCTTTACCACTCCTCAGCGCTGGGCTGGCACCATGTCAACCTGACATGGCCTGAACTGTGTGGCCCCGGGCCTGGTGGCGTGTGTGCCCAGGCTCTGCCCACACTGCACAGCACACCTAACATGATGCACCTTCTTTTTGTCTCTCTCTGTCTCTGTCTCTCTCTGGGTGGATTTGGGGTCATCAGCCTCTTCTCTTTGCAGATGCCAGCCCCTCCCAAGCTCTTCCTGACCCTGCTCTACAAGCTGGGGGGGCCACAGCCTGATGACTTCACAGTGGCACTGGAGGTCACCACCTGGGACTCAGGGATGTGCTTTGAGGGCAACCCCACCTCCCTGCCCGGTGAGGACCCTGTCCCCCCATGCTCTCTGCAGTGAGCACCTGCTGCAGTCCCTCACCCCTGACCTGGCTCCCTCTGGCAGAGCCCAATGGCCGGTACCACCCCCGGTTCCTCCCGGCACCGCCGCCTGGCCTCGCCAAGCTGCTCGCCGCCTGCCACCGTGGCTCCCATGGCTGGACCAGCCGGTGAGTGCCCTGCCTGCATCCTGTGTCCACAGGCAGGCACGGGATGCCAGGGCTCCCTAGTACCATTCCTGCTCTGCCTCTTCCCTCTCAGGTGCTATGAGCTGGAGCTGCAGGACTGCAGCCTACGAGACCTCTCCCTGATTGTGTCCCGCCAGCAGCCCAGCCTGCAGGAGACATCCTTCACCTGCCTCCTCGGGGAGGTGCGGGTGAGTGCCTGCCTGGTGGAGACACCTGCCCTTTTTCTGGGAAGGTGGGGATGCCTGCCCTGACCCTGACAGTGCTGCGGTTCCCTCGCAGGTGCTGGACACGGCCAGCGTGGCGGCCTCCCCGCCGCAGGTGCACAGCGTGATGGCCTCGCAGCTCTGGTGGCAGGAGGGCCCCGAGCCCGAGCAGCTCTCGCTCAGCCTCACCCTGCGCTGGTCCTTCCCGCCTGGCCGTGCCAGATGGTTCCGTGTCCTGAGCCAGGGCACCCGGTGCCGCCTGGGCCAGACAGCGCCGCAGGTGCTGGGGCTGGCGCAGGGCTGCCTGTTCCGTGTCGTGGGGCTGGCCGTGCCGCGGCCGGCGCCCGCACAGTCCTGCCGGCTGGAGCTGCTGGTGGAGCCGGTTCTGCGGGATGAGCTGCCTGTGGACCCCGAGCTCTGGGGCCACCTCGTGCTGGTCTATTCCGCACCAGGCAGTGGCACCAGCTCAGATGGGCATTAAAGCAACTGTGGTGCAGCCCGTGCCGTGTCTCCTTCATGTGGCGGGTGGGCTGTGGTGGGGGACACAGAGGGAGGCTGCACTTCATCACCCGGGGCTGGTGAGTCCCTTTCCTCCCAGCTCTGTGGTTGTGCTCACCCTCACTGTGGGGGCCTACTGAGTGCTGACCAGGATCCTCAACATGTGTGACCCCAGACTGGGGCACCTGCCCTGAGAACCCCAGCAGCTCCTGAGCCCTCACTGCCTCAGGCTGTCTGCCCACAGGCTGGGGATACTGGCCCTAAGACCCCAAGGCACACAGTCCCCTCAGGGCTCAGCCTGGTGGGGAGCTGCCAGCATGGGCTTTGCAGCAGCCCAGCCTGGGTGACCGCTGTGCTCATTAACGGGGACCCAGCCCAGTACCACCAGCCTACACTGCCTCCCCTGAGCATCTTGTGAGGAGGAGAGAAAATTTATAGCAGCAATTATTTTCTCACAGTCTGGTGAGCAAGCAATTAGCAGGCAGGAGCAGCCGAGCACTCCTGCAGTGGGGTCCCAAGCCCTGTCCCCAAACAATGCAGGCTCTGCCAGGGACACCAATGCCAGCAGTGGAGCTGCTGCTCCTGAGGCGGAGCAGGAATGTATTACCTGATGGCCTGAAGAACGAAGGGCTAGGCCCAGCCAGGAGAGGACTCTTCATGCAGCACCCTGCTCCCTCACCATGGTGAGGCTGGGGGCCCCAAGGGCTCCCCATTTGCCCACAGGCTGTGGCCCCCTGCCCAGCCAGATCTGCTGTAGCAGCCACGGCCCCGCGCAACCAGTCAAAACCTGAGTCGCCCTGGTTGAAGAAAGAAATCTTTATTAATAATTTCAATAATAATAATAATAATAATCCTCGTAATAATAATAATAATAATAATAATAATAATAATAATACTGTTTATTAGAATGGTCACACTTTTAAGCATACAGGATGGGCCGGCGCCAGCCCGCACGCCAGGGCGGCGCAGGGGTGCTGTAAGGGAGAAGCCAGTACAGCGATGGACGGAGCTTTGTACAGGGGAGCGGGGCCGGGGCTATGTACACCGGGAATAGAAAAGGGGGAGCTCATCGCTGGGGCGTCGGGGGCGTCTGCAGACTATAAAGTGAGGTTTGAGGAGTGGCAGAGCCAGAAGGGCGCGGGACTGCGCTGCACCCCGGGATGGGCTCCACAGTGCCCCACGCCACTGGGCACCCTGCCCAGCGTGCCGGCGGCTGCAGCCCAGCCTTGCGGCTTGGGTGGGTCCCTCGTGGGTGATGCAGTGGCCTAGACCCCGCGCCCAAGGCTGGGGACATCCCGCTGCCTCAGGCAGGGACGGGTGGCCATGAGCGTGTCCCGTGCCGCAGAGCAAGCGGGGGTGGGACTGGGGCAGCGCCTGGCCCAGCTTGGTCAGGGCTGGTCCAGGCAGGGCGGGAGCGTGGGCGTCAGGGAAGGAGGGAGGAAGAAGGGGAAGGGAAGGGGTCACAAGCGAATTGCAAGCTCCTCTTAACAAAAATTCCCTTTAAAAGGCAGAGGGTCGTCCCCTGCAATACCTCAGCACCGCATCCGCGCCGCCGCCCCAGTTCCGCGCTGGAGCTGAGGCCTCGCACACCCGACACGCTGATGGCCGCCAGCGCCGGGGCCCGGGTGGCACCAAGCCGGGTCCCCACCCTCTCACCCGGTCCCACAAGCCGGGCAGGGCGCAGCGCTCTGCCGGCACCCCCAGCGCTGCTGCACCAGGGAAAGGAAGACGTGGCGCCCAGGCCCTGCACCTGGGCGGGGGAGGGCCCCCCGGACCCCCGCGGACCCTCACGCCTGCCTGCACCGGCTCCCTCCCTGCTGGGCTGTGGGGCCGGGGCGCTGGGGGTCCCTCCGGCGCATCCGACCGCCGGTGCTTGCCGCGGCTCCTCTGGGACTCGCTCACTCGGTGTGTGTGGACAGTTGGGATTCACTTGGCTGCTGCCGCTTGCCTTGGTTTCTCTTTTATTTGTTTGGTTTTTCTTTTTTTTTTTTTTTTTCTTTTTTTTTTCCCCCCGTTGCTTCACTTTAAATTTTTATATATTTGGGTTCTTTTTTTTTTTTTTTTTTTTTTTTTTTTTTTTTTTTGGGGGGGGGGGGGGGGTGGTATATTTTTGCCCTTCCTGGTCCCAGAAGGAAACAGCCACGGGTTCACTACAACAGAAACAAGAGAGGCAGGTCTTTCGCTGGAGCACTCAGGCCGAGCTGGTGGCCGGGGGCACGCAGGCACCGTCCCAGCCCAGCCCATCACACCCAGCCCTGCAGAGCAGCGCTCCTGCCCGCCGGGCTGCCCTGGATCCCAAACCCACCCCAGCCTCGCCAGGCCCCACAGCTGGCAGCAACCCCAGCTGGCTCCTCTCTCTCCTATGGGGCAGAGGGGCTGCTCGGGGGGCTGCTGTCCCGTCGAGCCCCAGCGCCTGCGGAGCGAGCAGCCCTGCAGGCTGAGCACATCCGCGGGGGGATGAGCCCTCGGCAGCCCGGCCAGGGCAGCGGGGGCACCCGGCAGCCCGGCTGTGGGCACGGGGCGCTGCTGGGGCGAGGGCTGGCCCCGCTGGAAGGTGCCGGAGAGGCGGGCGGGCGGCAGGACGGAACGGCTGAGGTAACCCTATGGGTGTGGGGTGCTGCTGCCCCACAGAGCCCGGCGCCAGCCCCGGCCACCCGGGCAGCACCCGCGGCTCCTCCGCAGGCTCGGCCTCGGCTCTGTCTGCCTGGTTTGGTTTGGTGCTAGTGAGCATCGGGGGCAGTGGTGGGGGGGCTGGGTCTGTCTTGCTAGTAGGGAGTGAAGCGGCTGTACCCTCCTCGGTATAGACTAGCCTGCAACATCAAAGATGAAAAAAAAGCCAATCAGTATTCAGAGATAGCCAAAGCCTAGATCTTCCCTTTTTTCTCTTCTTTTGTTTTTTCCTCCTCTTTCAAATGATACCAAATCGCTGCTGTCCTTGGGATGTGAGGGGCAGGCAGGGCCAGGGTGCCCAGTGCTTCCCGGGCTCTGTGGTGGCCACGGGCACTGCCCTGGGGGCAGGGGCTGCCCTATGCCTCCAGCGTGGCACTGCAGTGCCATGCCTGCCAAGGAGTTGCCCCATTCCTGCTGTGGCACTGAGTTGAAAACCCCTAGGATGTAGTGCCCCTGGCCCCTCACTAGCAGCTGCCCAGGGAGTAAAAAAAGGCAGAAAAAGACAGGTTGGCTTTGCGATCCCAGCCGCGAGTGCGATTTTTCATCTTTGATGCTGTCAGAGCTGGCCAAGAACTGTGGTGCATGAGGGGCTTCAGTGCCCCCGTGTGTGGCTGCACGTGGGGCCCTGGGGACACTGTCCTGCACTGGGATGACAGAGGAGTCCTGGAGCCTGCCCAGGCAGCCGGTGGGGGACAGCCAGGCCCCTGGGAAGTGGCATGTGTGGGCAGGACTGCGGGGTGTGAGGGGAAGGAGGGGCAGGGGTGGGGTGGGGGTTTCCTTTCCTGCAGACAGAGCCAGGCAGGGGCTGTGCCATTCCCACTCCCCTCCCACAGCCCCCCGGCCCTGCCCTGTGCCCCACAGCCGCCGTGCCAGACCCTCCCTGGGCTGCCTGCAGCCCCCCAGGAAGCAGAGGAAGGCCGAGGGGCTGCTCTTACCATGGTGCCAATGCTGTACGTGGCGGCGGGGCCAATGGTGTGGTGGTAGGGGTCTGCTGCTGCGTACACTCTGCCATAGCTAGGAGCAAACAGCGGCAGGTGTTAGTGACAACAGTTGGGCTCCTGTCTCCCCTCTGAGCCCTCCCTCCCTCCCAGTTGCATCCGGGAGCCCCCCGGATCTCCCTGCTCCCCCTGCAGTGGTGGCAACCCTTTCCAGCCTAGCCCTGAGGGCACCAAGGTATCCCTGTCTGCAGACACTCTCCCCATGCCTGACTCTGTCCTGTCCCACAGCACTCAGGAGCTGGGGGTGTCAGAGTGGGCTGTGCAGGGGTGACACGGGGCTCCCCTAGGTGCCATGCCCGGTGCTCACCTGTCGCTGTATGCAGCCGCTGCTGCTGCGGGCTGGGCGTACCTGTAGGCAGCATAGCCCCCCTGCAGGGAGAGAGACTGGTCAAGGGACTGCACCCACCGGGGAGGTGGGGTTGGAGCAGCTGGGTGCCCCATGGCACTGTACGGAGAAGTGTGGGGCCCACAGGGGGTGGTGCCAGTGCCACTGGGCACGCATCAGCCTCATTACCATTCCCCAGGGGCTTTCACAAACATTAACCTTAAAAAATTAAATTTCCAGAGAAGAGACTGTCACCTCCCCGCTCGCCTTAATGAGGTGTCACGTTAGATAAATCCTTCAGTGCCCGCCTGAAATATCGCCGCTGGCTCCTCAGACATGGAGGTTAAACGCGGGTGTAAGGAACTGAGGCCATAAATCCCGCGTGGCACCAGCCCTGCAAGGGGCTGGCAGGGGCACAGGACTGGGCACAGGATCCTGCGTGGTGTGTGCCACCCCGACTGCTCTGGAGAAGCTGTGCTGTGCTCATGCTCTTGCTGTCACCCAGGGGAAGGGGTTTGGGGGAGGCAGAGCCCACCAGGGACCCGTGTGACACTGTCTGTCCCCTGTGCTGGCATGGGGTCCCCGTCACAGCCCAGCCCTGGGCACAGTGTCACTTACGTAGATCTCAGCTCCGTAGAAGCCATCCTGGTAGACGACCCTGGAAATGAGGCGGAGGCATCAGAGCCCGGCAAGCGCCCCTGGACGAGGGGAGCGGGGTGAGGGCAGTGCCTGGGGGAAGCTGCCTCAGCCCCATGGCTCATGGCAAGGGGTGGCTGTCCAGGCCCCAAAGGCACCTCTGGGCTAGGATTCTGGGCAGGGACATGGGCACATGCAGAGGGCACAGCCAAGGGCAGGGCGTGCCAGAGGAGGATCCCAGGGCAGGATCTCTGCTGGGAGCAGCCAAGCAGCCACAGATGGCCATGGCTGTGTCTGTGACCAAGGCCATCCCAGCCGCATGTGCTGGGACAGTTTCCATTAAACCAACCATCCTGGCTGGAATAACATCCTGTGCCTTGGTGGGCAGGAGGCTGCGGAGTGCGTGGGTCACCCGAGGACAGCAGAGTGGGGCTGGGACAGAGCCTGTGGCCAGGCAGGAGCTGCAGGAGCTGCAGGAGCTGCAGCCCGTTCCTGACGAGCCCGGTGATGCCAGCACAGGCTCAGAGCGGTGTGGCAGCAGAAGCCCCCCAGCAGCCCCCTGGGGTACTCACGCGCCGTAGGTGGGGATGGGCGGCGGCGGCGGCGCGGCGCGGAAGGTGTTGTAGACAGCCCGGCCCCGGCCCCGGAGGTGTGCCCCTCGGTAGGCCACGGCCGTCCCCGTGGCGGGGTACGGGAACCCCGTTACTGCAGGAGGCAGGGGACACCTGTGGGCTTTGCACGGCGGCACCACACAGCCCCCACGGGGCACCTGTGGCACAGCCCACCCCTGTCCCCTCAGGCTGGCAGGGACATGGCCCCGTGGGGAGGCTGGGAAAGGGGAGGGGATGGGATGAGATGGGATGGGATGGGATAGGACAGGACAGGACAGGACAGGACAGGACAGGACGGGACAGGGGAGGGGAGGGGAGGGGAGGGGAGGGGAGGATGAACTGTCCAGGCAGGTGTAAAGGACAGGGAGAGGGGCCGGGGCTGCTCACTGCACAGAGCAGTGGCAGACACAGGGCAGAGCTGACGTTTGGGGGGAACCCGCAGCGGGTACTGCTGCAGCCCGATGTTACCTGCGTAGAATTCGGGGCCGTAGACTGCTCCCACCACTGGGTTCAGCTTCCAGCCTGTGGGCAGGGAGAGCCAGTAAGGACAGGGCACTCTGCATGGTGCTCTGAGGGACAACAGCCCCATCCCAGGCAGGAGGAGGGCATGGGGCTGCCCTCCTGCACTGGGCAGCAGCAGTTGCTCTCCCATTTGCCGGCAGTGTGGAGGGCACTGACTGCCAGAGCTCCAGGGCAGCCAGACAGTGCTGGTGCCTGGGGGTGCCCCTGCCTGCTGCAGCCCCTGCTCTCTGGACACTGCCCTTACCGTTGGTGTAGGGGTTGGCCACCTTCTTGTTGGTCATGACCCGGGCCGTGGCATTGTTCACCTGCAGAGAGAGGGATGGGGGTTCAGAGCCTGAGGGACGTGGAGCTGGCAAGGCTGGGGTCCAGGGCCCGCTGCTACTGCTTTGGGGGCCGGAGCAAAGGATGCCAGCTGCACCAGGGACACGAGACAAGGCTCTGCCTGCAGCACCCCGCTGTACACAGACCTGCCCGTGCCTCCAGCCAGCCCAGGCCTCCATGCTCCAGCTGTGAGCGTGGCTCAGGCTGCTGGCTGGTGCCCCGAGAGCTGCAGTGCCATGCTCAGGCTGAGCCCCAACATGCTGCCCATGAGCTCCTGCCCGATTTTGTTGGATGACGTTTTCCTTGTCCATGGGGCATTGCTGTGCCCTGCCAGGATCCCTCTCTGGTGTCAGCACTGCTGGGGACATTTTGTCCCACTCCCTCTGCCATGTGCCACCTTGTTCCCCACCACCCACCAGCCACCAGTGGGGAGCTGCTGGCAAACGGGCAGAGCCTGATCCCTGTGCTAAGCTTGGAGAAATCAAAGCCTCTGGGGCTGGGCAGCTGCTGGGCACTGCAGGTGTGGAGCTGCGGGTGGATGCTCCCTCCCAGCACAGGGCAGGGGGGGTGGTATGCGGGGCAGAGCCCCAGAGCTCCCTGCAGAGCCTGGGGCGACTGCTGTGGGCACGGGGGTGTGCCAGCCTTGTCTGTAGCAGGCAGAATGCAGCCCCAGCTGACACCCCGGCTCTCCGTGCACCCGGGAGGTTCCTCTGGGGCCAGACACTCCTTGTGCCAAGCGACGACCTTCCCGCAGCCAACACGCATGCTCCCGTGCCACATTCAGGGACACATGCACGCGCCGGGCACAGCTCCCCAGGGCACCAGGAGCTGCCCCAAGCGCCCCACAGCCCGGGCGGGGGACACGCACACGCAGGCATGGCACGGCACTAGCACACTTATCTGAGCACCTCAATCTTCCGGCCCTCTACGATGGTGCCATTCAGCTTCTCCCGTGCCCGGTCGGCATCTGTGCTAGTTTCAAAAGTTACAAACCCAAAACCCTGTGAGCAGAGGAGAAAAGGAGAAAGAAAGAGACAGAGAGAGACAGAGAGAGGGTGTGGGGACAGAGAGAGAGAGGGGGTGAATCAGGAGAGCTGGCGCAGGAGGTGAGGCTGCCACAGTGCAGAGATGAAGAGCCCAGAGTGGGGTCCCCGCAGGGGCTGGGGGTCCCGGCTGAGGCCCCAGAATCGCCCACGAGCTGGGAGAAGAGTCTGGGAGAGGGGCACAGAAAGCAGGGAAGATACAACAGAGACATCCAGACACAGAGGGACACGAGCTGCCCGTGGTGGGACACAGCAAGCCCTCTCCTCCCTCCAGTGCCGGGTACCGGGACCCGCACGACCTCCCGAGTTGGCGCCGGGGCTACCCCGATGGGGCACTGCATGCCAGGGTTCCATGGGACAGGAGAGGAGGGGAGAGCAGGTTACAGCACTGCTGGGCAACCTGGCTCCACTGGCACCCTCCCCAGGCCTCGCTGTATGGTGCTGGCCTTGGGCATCACCCACCTTGGAGCCCCGCTCATTGAAAATTATCTCCACGTCCAGAATTTTCCCGAATTGCTGCAAGTGGAGAGAACAGAGGGGTGAGTGCCTGCAAAGCCCCTGACCCTGCATCCAGAGCTGCTGGCATGGGGCTCTGTGCCAGGGATGGGAAGAGGGCTGCCTTGGGGGCCAGACCTGGGCACCCCCAGGGTCATGCAAGGGAAAGCCCTTGTTCCTCCCATGGCTCCCACTCTGACAGGACTTGGGGAGTCTCAACCAAAATTTCATTAATTAACACTGCTCTGAGTCCAAATGAGGGCTGGGAAGGGGACAGTGGAGGGGGACAAGGGCTCTGTGTCACCTCCTGCTCCACACACAGGGGCTGGGCAGGATGTCCCTTGGGAGGTGACAGTGCCAAGGTCACAATGGTGCCACGGGGCAGGGATGTGATGGCTGGGTGGATCTGTACTCACCCCAAACATTTGCCGCAGGTCGGGGTCCCGGAATCGAAAGGGAATGTTGGAGACGTGTAACCTCTTGGGCTGCTGCTTGTCTGTGTTGTCTGAGGAGTGTAGCTGCTGGCTGTCTGTCTGTGCCGCTTCGTCTGTCTGCTGCGGGAGGCACCGCTGCCATCAGCCCCCGGCCGTGCCAGCCCCCTGTCCCCAGTGGGAATGTCCCCCTGCCCTGTGCTTGGCCCTGCCTGCCCCCAGGGACACCCTGTGGTCCCCAGGTTCTGGGCAGTACCCCACGGGTGTCCCTCCCTCCTGGTGAGCCAGGGGATGCTGGTGGGGTTATGGGGATGCTCGGGGTGGGGGTGCAGATGCTGCACCCGGGACCGTGTGGGAGGACTGGAAAGTGCAGAGCTCAGCACCTTCCTGGTGCTGCATTCCAGCGCTGTAATTGCCACGGTCTCCTAGAGCAGAGCCAAGCAAGTGGATTACGAGTGATGAGAAATGATGGGGGCTCTGAGGGGGAGTGATGGTGGCAGGAATACCCAGCCTGGTACCCTGTGGGACATTGGCCAGGCAGCACCACTGCCCCAGGACCCTCCTGGCAGCTCTGGCACTGCCCTGGACCCTGCAGCAGCACTGCCCCAGCACCTCCCGTGCCTCTGGCACTGCCCCGAGCCCACCACAGCCCCAGCACTGCCTTACCGGTACCGTCTGTGTCCCTGCTATGGACTGTGTGCTGGCGTCGCTGCCCGGCTGCTCGGGGTGGCTCTGTGCTGGTGTGTAGAGGGTCATGGCGTGCTCCGGTACCGTGCTCTGCCCCGAGTAGTCCTGCGTGGGGTGGGGGTGCGGCGGCGCGTACTCTGCGGGGATCCCGTTCTGGGGGGGCGGGGGGTACTGGGCGGGGGGGTAGGGCTGAGCCATCGCATCCGGCGGGGCCGTGGCGTCCTGGTTACCCTGCCGAGAGAGCGGCACCGTCCCCCTCAGCTGCTGGCACACCTGGGCTGCCACTTGCCCTGGGATGGGGTTCTGATCTCCATGGCCAGAGCCAGCCCCACCCGCCCCACTGCCCCCCAGCCTTTGGTGTCTCCCTCACACCCCGGGCTGTCTCTGTGCTGTGGTGGCTTTGGGGTCACGTTGCCAGCAGCTGAGCCCCATCCTCTCCCGCTCCCATGCCCTGCCTGCCCATTGTGCTGGGCTTGGGCAGAAGGACGGAGGCCTCCATGTGGGGTTTAACTCCTGAAGCTGGCATATCCCTCTCCTTGGGAAGGGAGACCTGGCCAGGCCCCATTTGGAGCCCGGCACAGGGCAAAGCAGAGCCTGGCCAGCAGCATCATGCTGGGAGCTGCACAGCACCAGCACCGGCTGGGCGGGCTGTCAGGGAGGGATGCTGATGGCCCCTTGGCAAACACCAGACAGGGATCAATTAACCGCTAAATATTTAATTAGGCCCTTTGCTCTAACGCAGCTGGCCGCCTTGGTCAAACGGGACAAGCTGCACACACACCACGGGCCAGGGGCTGCTGGGGTTCGTGTGGGGCTGAGAGGGCAGCGTGGGGCTCCCAGGCAGTGTCTGGTCTGCACACCCACCCATCCAGCTACTGCCCATCTTCACAGCCCAGCACACCCTTGGCCGTGCCCCTCGCACAGGTGTGCACGCACCTGCGGCCGGCACAGCTGCAGCCCCCGAGGCAGTGCCAGGGCCGCGGGGGGCAGCGCCCGCAGCCCCTTGGATGCTTTACAGCACGCTGCAGCAGCCTCTGGCCTGTGAAATCCGCCTGTGGCTCAGCCCGCAGAGACAAGCTCCTTAACTGCGTGTGTGTGTCGCCGATTTATGTCAGGGAAGGATGGTGGGGGTGGCAGGGGGATGCGCTGGCAGCTGCCGTCCCCAGGCTGTGAGGGTGGCAGCAGAGCCGCAGCGGGGACACACGGAGACCCAGCGGGAATAGCCCCGCTCAGATCTGCAAGTCATCGGCGGCGGCAGCGCCTGCCCGCGCTGACTCAGCTGCTCGGGACGCGCCAGCCCGATGCACCTGCCTGCGTGGGCCGGGGCTGTCAGGCTGCAGGAGCCCAGCCCATGGACGGCCCTGCCCCGGGAACTGCCCACGCCACTCCTGCCCACACCCCAGGTGCTCATTCCACCTGGCAGGCCAGAGGCTCCATCCTGAGCTCGCCTGGGTCTCGGCACTCAGCCCTCCTCCAGGGAGCTGGCACACACCGACAGTCACCGTGTCACTCTCCCGGTGCTGCTGCCCATTCCTCCCTGCCTGATCCCTGGCGCCCTGTGCCCGTCCCTCCCTGCCTGCACGGGCAGAACCAGGAGCAGCCCACATCCCTCCTGCCTGCTCTGCACTGGACACAGCCTTGCTGTCACTACAGCCGGGATCAGCCACCAACACGCAGGGACTGGGATGTCAGCAGGGACTGTCCCCACCTGCCAGGTCTTGGGCCCTCCCGGCCCCTCGTCAGCCTGTCCCACCAGCCATGTCTGTGTCAGTTGTTAATCAGGGCTGTCGCAGTGCCTGTCAGCTGGGCACTATTTCATTCAGGGACCATTAGGTTCCCCTGGTTGCTGCTCATGGCGCTGGAGCTGCGGCTGCTGCAGATCCACAGATCCACGGCTTCCAGGGCCTCCTGTCCGCTCCCAGGGCCTGGCCTCCCCACTGGGACAGAGCTGCTCACTCGGGGCTGCTGTGGATGAGGGTTCTATGGGGAGGGGAACACTGACAGGCTTGGCTGTGTGCTACCCGTGGACATCACACTACTCAGTTCCACACCCCACGCTGCCCACAGCACTGGAACAGCCCCATCCCAGGGCAGTCCCAGGCACTGAGGGTCCCTCTGTTCTTCCCTTCTGGGGTGTCCCACTGCACTGAGCACCCAGGGGGTCCCTGGGGACGCATCTCTACAGCCCATGAGAATCCCAGCTCGGGGTGCCAGGCCATGCAGGGAGCCTGTGGCACAGCGCTGGCCTGTGGGTGCCAGGGACAGGGGCTCTGAGAGACACCCCTTGCTCTGCCAGCACCCAGCCCTCCTGGGGGCACGGGGACGCTCCCACACATTGCTTTTGACACTTGCAGTAAAAGAAATTCTGGTCCTTAACAGCCCTTGGCGTAGTTCAAAATGAGACAGATCAGTTCAGTGCCTGAGCCTGGAGCAAAGCTGGCAGCACAGGGGGCACAAGCTGTACCTGGCACCTCTACTGCCCACCTGCTTGGGCAGGTACCAGCAGGACTGTGGCATGGCCCTGTGCTGAAACACCACTGCCCCAGGGATGGCGGTGGAGAGGCTGGGACAGGGAGCCCAAGTTTCCCTGCCCCGTGTCCCCTGTGCAGTGCCCTCTGCCCCGTGTCCTCTGCCCCGTCCCCTGCCCCCGTCCCCTGCCCTGTGTCCTCTGCCCTGCCCACGGCTCAGTCTCACACCACCAGCCCTGCGCAGTGGCTGAGGCAGCAGGCAGGGGGTAGATATCATCTTTAGCTGATTAAATGTCCCTCATTAACGAGTTTCTTTAATTAATGAAGTTTTTTTGTTTGCTCCACTTGCTTCCCCCCCCCCCCCACACTCTGCCTCCTCAGCACAATCCAGGCCATTTCCTTTCAAGTCATTTAGCGCGTGGGGCCAGTTCCTGCCGACACCGCATTTTGGTGATTGTGCCTGTCAGCTCGGGGCTGACGCCGCCGTTTCCCACATTTGTTCCTTTTGAAGAAAATAACGTGCCAGGAGCCCCCGGACACAGAGGACGGGTCAGAGCAATCACCTGAGTGCAGGGCCCTGCACTAAGGATGAGGCAGCTGCCAGCCACGAGCACCTGCACAGGGCCACCAACCTCGCCGTGACAGCGTCCTGCCAGCACGGTGTGACGGTGCCACGCAGGAGGGCTGGGCTGACGGCGCTCACCAGCACCCGTCCCTGCTGCTGCCACCGACGTGCCAGCTTCCTGCCAGCCTCATGGCCATCGTGCTGCCTCGGCCTGACCCCAGCCCCATCTCCAGCCCAGGACAACTCCCACCAGCTGACTCTGCCCTGGGCTGTGCCCTGCCTGCGCTGCACAGGGCTGATGCTGCAGGGGTGGCACAGCACAACACGGCCTGGTGACGGCATGGCACTGCCCAACCATGGCATGGCACTGCCTGGTGACGGCATGGCACTGCCCAACCATGGCATGGCACTGCCTGGTGATGGCATGGCACTGCCCGGTCACGGCATGGCACTGCCTGGTCATGGCATGGCACTGCATGGTCACAGCATGGCACTGCCTGGTCATGACATGGCACTGTCCAACCATGGCCCGTCAGAGCATGGCACTGCCCAGTCACGGCATGGCACTGCCCAGTCATAGCATGACACTGCATGGTCACAGCACTATTAGGTCATGGCACACGCACAGCTGGGTGAAGCCACATGTGGGGAGAGGGAAGACAGCCCTGTCACTACACACTCCCCACCCTAGCAGCAGTCCCCTCTGCCTGTGGCTGTCCTGCTCCTCCCACTGGGAACCAGGCACTTGCTGCAGGGGGAAAGAGGGGCCCACAGCACCATGGTATCCACAGAGCCCCCGTGCTCCTGCCAGCTGCAGAGCCTCAGAAAGCATATTCTGCAGGCAGGGCAGTAAGGAGTGCAGGCAGGGCAGGGCAGGGCAGGCAGAAACCACTTTGCTGTGACCTGGAATAGCTCCTGCCTGCTTGCTAATGCCAGGGCACATCCTTGCTTCATCATGAGGGAGCCTGAGGTCACTGCTGAGCACAGGGAAGGGTGCTCAGCAATTCCAAACGTCTCCTGTGGGAGACCCGCTGTGCCCACCAGCAGGACACTGGAGCGAGGAGCAGCCAGGGAGACTGATGGGGCCATCAGCCCTTACACCCACTGCCCTGGAGCAGGGCGAGTGGAAACTGTGCTGAGCAGCAGAGACGGATTCAAGAAATGCCCCAGTGGAGGCAGGAGGGTCCTGGCATGGCCCAAGGTTGCCCCCAGGCATCCTGGGCCCATGCAGGCATCTCCGTGCCCAGCAGGACTCATCTGCATGACAGATGCAGCGCTCCCCCTTCGATCCGGCCCTCGCTCATGCTAATGACTGTCAACACGGAACAGAGGCCATGAAGGGGAAGAAAATTACTCCCTGAAAAGGAATTGACTGATCCCTGTCATTTCTCACAAAACCACTGACCTGTAAATATTTCATTACCCCAAAAGCTGTGCCATCCATACAAAGCAGTGTCCAGTGCTGTGCAGAGCTGCTGGCTGCGGGGCAGGGGGGTCAGGGAGCCCCAACAGGGACCAGCCCTGCCCACCGTGGGGATGCCAGGAGCTGCTGGTGGGTTGCTTACCCCCAAAGTGGGGCCACGGTGATCCCACAGAGAGCTGGGGGACATGATGGGGATGGACCCTGTGCGGGAAGCAGGGGAGGAGCGAGGAGCTGCAGGGACCAGCGGCAGCAGCTGTTTCACTGAATGTCTTCATCAGCAAAGCGCAGGGAGGGGTGAGAGGCTGGAAATGGCATCTGCCAGGGACGCTGGGTGGGAAAGGAGTGCTCCAGTGAGCAGGCAGCACCTGAGGGGGAGGAGGAGGAGGAGGAGCAGCGGGGGGAAGCAGAGCAGCCTGTTGGCATGTGAAACACCATTTTTCTGGGCTGCCACGCGTTTCCCGGCACTGTGCATCCCCCTACCCTGCTCCTGCCCTTGGCCCCCCTGGGCTCCAGCTCACAGAGCCAGGGACGCTGCTGCCCCTCTGCCCCGGCAGCCTGGGGAGGACAGGCAGAGCGATGTGACATCCAGAAGTGAGGATGACACAGGACACACACCAGCACGTGTGTCCCTGTCACCTCCGGCACGGGCAGAAGGGCCACGGTCCGGCCCCGCTCCTGGCTCTGCCAGCTGGAAACTTCGGAGCTGAGGCTTCATGAAATATTCATTAAGTAAATGGTGCAATTTCATCTGCATTCAGCCAACTTCATGTATATT